CAGTGAGTGTTAGGGAGGCAGGGACATACTTTATTGGCCAGGTGTGCACAAGCCTGCGGTCTCTAACTCCTCCACGAACTTCCCATGGGTGATTGGGTGGATTTGTCACTCCACCTGAAGAGCCAAGCCACGCTGACGCACCGCCCTAACTCCGTCCGCAGGGGGCCGCAGCAGCGCCTGCTCTAGGCTCAGGCCAACGACCACACGATAACCCTCGTCCTCAGCCGCCACCATTTTATATTTAGAGACCATCATTTATATCCAGTGCTTACAAACACTCCATGATACGCGCCATTCCCAACGACCACACGATAACCCTCGTCCTCAGCCGCCACCATTTTATATTTAGAAACCATCATTTATATCCAGTGCTTACAAACACTCCATGATACGCGCCATTCGGGTCCTGCCTCCACACCACCCATCGCAACTCTCCTGCTCTCCGCATCCCCTTCCTAAACTGTCAGCGCCAAGATTCTTAGTGGGCGGGATGCAAAGCCAAAAGATTGGACTCCGCAGTTCCTGGTCCCGGCCCCTCACTGGAAAAGCCGAAGGGCTCAGCAGGGTCAAGACAGCTTCCCGGCGGGCCAGAACCTGCCCCGGCCACACACAGCTCGCTGGCAGCTCACAGAGCCGCAATGGAAGCAGGGGGACCAGGGATAGGCGTACCCGCCCGAGTGTGTGTGTGCGCGCGCGCGGCGATGTGTGTGTGTGTGTGTGTGTGTGTGTGCGTGTCTGCGTGTGTGTGTGTGTGTGTGTGTGTGCCCGTGTTAGGATGTGTGCGCACGCGCGCGTGCATTTTCAAGCTCCAGAGCGTAATTCCGCAAACAGGGTGCAGGATATCGGGCATCACCAGCGTGGACACAGGCTTTGTGTCCTTGTGAGGGGCTCACAGGCAGGGGTGAGGGTCCTCCCGGGCGGAGCGCCTGCAGAGTTGAGTCTGAGCACCCGGATGGGGACCAGCGCCTCCCAGGACCGGACGCCTAGGCGTAGCAAGGTCCGGACCTCCGATCCTGCGGCAGGGGCTGTGCGCCCCAGCCCCACCTGTGCGACGCAGGGGACCGGGATGCTCCAGCCACGCGCAGGGCACGGGAGGTTGGGGGGGGGGCTCGAGTCGCCCAGAGCGCCCGTAGTGAGGTACCCGGTAGCCTCGGGAGGACCCCGCACCGTCGGCTTCGGATGCTGGGGATGGTGGGGCGCCTGCCTGCCGCCCATTCAGCCCCACCCCAGTCTCCCCCAGCGGCTCCCGGGCACAGGCGCAGGGACCCGGACTCCGCACCCTCCTCCAGGCACTCACAAAACTATCGCCGCAGCCGTTGTCGGGACACAGCACGTAGAAGGAGACGCCCGGGTCGGCGTAGAAGTCCATCCTGCGCTCGGTCTCCTCGGCAGCGATGAGCTCGAAGGGCGTGCTGGAGCACCATTTCTCTGCGACGTCCGCCAGCTGCTGGAACTCCATCGCGGCGCCGCCCCGCGCTCCCACCCGCCCACCCGGCCCGACTCCGGGCTCCGGGGCTCCCTGGGCTCCGGGGGCTCCCTAGCTCCGGGGCTCCCTAGCTCCGGGGCTCCCTAGCTCCGGGCTCCGCCGCCGGGACTGTTTACACGCGGTGTGTACGGGGGCGGTGGCCCGGACTGCGCTCGCGGCTCCGCCTCCGCCCCGCCCCCACCCGCCTGCCCACCCGCTTTATTTGGAGAGGAACCCGGAGCACCCTCAGCCCAAGGGCCGCCCCAGCTCATGACGTCACGAGCCGTGACCAATCTCCGGAGCCCGAGAGCTTGCCTGCGACCTCAGAGCCGGTGACATCACAGTGCGGGCTGGCGTGGCTCGGCAGGTGGTCGGGAAGCGCCACACTTGTTCGAACCCTGATACCCTTTAGGTAGAGTTAGAGAGTTTGGAGAGCGTTTTGCAGAACGGAGTTTAAATGCAGGGGGAGAGCCCAGATAGTAAGGACCCTGACTGAGGCTAGCAGTGGAGGAGCTGGGAAAAATCTAGGGAAACAGCTTTGCTTAGTGCAGAAATCAAAATTCTGTTCACCAATGAACGTGAAATATTTCCCCTTACTGTGTTTACTAGACACTGATTTGAGAGGTGTACTTTTACACTCACATAAAGCTCTTTAGAAATATCTCTCATTTAGATTAGCTTTAATATTATCCAGCTTGAATTTAAATTGTATACCAGAAAATGTCCAACTGCTGGGGGGTTTTGTTTGTTTTTGAGATGCTGAGGATTGAACAGTCTTCCGCTTCCTATACAGGCACTCTACCACTGAGCTGCATACCCAGCTAGCTGGGAAAGTAGGTTTTAAAACATTGTAGGCAGCGACCATTAATCACACCTGTTGAATGTTTGAGCCGTTACATACCCAACAGGCATAAAGGATTGAGGGAGTGCCACAGACCTCGCCTGGAACACTTGACTTCTAGCAGAGACGTTAAATAGCATCCAACATCCATTCTACAGTCAACGGTGATTATTTTTAAAATGTGCCTTCTGAACAAGCCTTGCCAGCTTTGGGGTTGTAAATATGAGCGGTATGTGTCCCCACCCTCAGGGAGTTGGTAGATAAGCCAGAGGAACCTAGACAACACACCCCTTACTCGAGGAAATAGAAGTGATTCCAGAGTTGTCTACTTTGCACATTTCTGGGGTGGGAATTCTCTCTCGGGCTCCTCTTAGTTAACTGGAGCTGTGTTTCCATAGGAAAAGTAGAAAGCCTCTGACTCAGTGAAGGAAGAGGCAAGGACAGTGAGCAGCCCCTAGGCATTCTGGGTAATGCATCTCTTCTGATCTCTTTTGCATCAACATTCTGATCATAAAAAGCCTAACTCTTAAATTTAGTTTTTAAGAGTGGGGCTAAGCTGGGCATGGTGATGCAAGCCTGTAGTCCCAGCACTTGGGAGGCAGAGGCAGGCAGATCTCTGTGAGTTCAAGGCCAGCCTGGTCTACATAGTGAGTTCCAGAGCAGCTGGTGCTACAGGGAGACCCTGTTTCAAAAAGTTTAAAAAAAAAAAAAAAAAAAAAGAGTGGGGCCAAACTAGAAAGACACTTGATGTCCCTTGGAACTGTCCTACTGGAATTCTGTGTCCCCAGTCTCACCCCACCCATGATTTTATCAAAACGGTTTTTCCAACTTCAACTGGGGAAGTACAATCTTGGCTCCACTCTAATCTTAACAGATCATCTGCCTTTTCATCCCTACACTAGAATACCTCATTCACCCAGGTCAGTCATCCTTCCCAACCTCCACTGAGTTGCATGGAGAAGGGTGCACTTCCTTTCTGCACTTTGATATGTTAATTCTCAAGCATACCCACATTCATTCATTCATTCATTCATTTGCTCATTGTCTTTTTGGGTGGAGTACCAAACTGAGGTTCCCAGAAAACAAGATCAGGTGCCCAGGTCACAAGACACAAAAGCACATGGTTTTGCCAGGGTTAAAGTCATTAGTCCAAATTATGCCCATTTATAAAAGTCATTTCCACACTGTTTCCTATCCAGAGCTGTCCTTGCCTAGAAGTTTGAGTCTGTGTAACAATTTCCTGACCTCACCTGTCCTCCTTTAAGCCAGTTTAGCTCACTGAATATATATGGAGTATCTTTTGGGCACCTGAGCGAGATGCACAAGGCACAATTTTGCCTTCAAGGTGCATACAACTCTAGATGGAATTCTAAGATGGCCCCTGTATTACTTTTCTGTTGCTATGATAAAACGCCATGAACCAAGGCACCTTGTAGAAGGAAGAGTTTATTGAGCTTACAATTCCACAGGGATATGTCCATCATACTGGCAGAGGCAGCTGGAACAGAAAGCTGAGAGCTCACATCTTCAGGCACACACAGGAAGCAGAGAGACAGACTGAAAGGGCAAGGATAGGACTCTCAAAGCCTACCCCTAGTGCCCTGCTTCCTCCAGCAAGGCCACACCTCCTAAACTTTCCAAAATAGTGCTACCAACTAGAGCCAAGTATTCAAATACTTGGAGCCTATGAGGGACATTTTTTATTCAAACCACCACAGCCCCCAAGATCTTTGTCCTTTTAGGTGTGCATGCATGCTCTCCAATTATCCAGTCATTTACTAATTGTAGACCAGGCAGCTCTGGGAGATTCTGCACTAATTAACTGATTCTGAGCCCCAGTTATGCATGACTGAGCTGCCCTTTCAACTTCCAGAACTGTGGACAACTAAATGAGTGTTTTAAGCTGCTGAGTTTGTTTAAATTTCTCTTGCACTAATAGAAACTAATGTAGGAGACAATGAAAGACATAGGCACATTGGTATAAAAACTCAATATAAGCCAGGTGTGATAGCACTCTCCTTTAAGCCCAGTGCTGGGGAGGCAGAGGCAGGTGGATCTCTGTGAGTTCAAGGCCAGCCTGGTCTACAGAGTAAGTTCCAGGACAGCTGGGGTTACAGGGAGACCCTGTTTCAAAACGACCAAAAAAGAAAAAAAAAATTTTTTAAACTTAGTATAGAGTTGAATATACTGTTATAAAGTTGCAAAGTGTCATTAAAAAATACAGACATCACAAGTGTTGTTAAAAAAATACAGAATCTCAAATTTCTTTATAATTTTACCTGGTTCTTCCACTTAAAGCTTAGTATGTGTTAATCCAGAAATTCCAGAAATGAATTTTTTTTTTTACATTTGACATGAAGCTATATAAAACACATTGTTTTTCTCCTTTTTGTAAAGGGGAATTAAGTCCATATGTTTTAAAATCCATCTATCAAATTGGCTCCAAATGTTGAGTGACTGCAATTACACAGTTGTATTTATTTAAATTATTTTGTCAGAAAGATTGAAATGTTCTTACGATGAAAACTAGAATTCCAGGCAGGATGCAATGGCTCAATGAACTGGACAGATACTGTTCGTCTCCTCAGGGAGGCATTGGGATAAAGAATTGGAACTTTACAGTTATATGTCTGGGTTGACTCCTACTGATTTTAATGATTTTAAGTTTTGTTTTGTTTTTGGTCTTTTTGAAACAGGGTCTCCCTACAGCCACAGCTGGCCTGGAACTCAACTATGTAAACCAGGCTGTCCTTGAACTCACAGAGATCCACCTGCCTCTGCCTCCCAAGTGCTGGGATTAAAGGCCTGCACCACCACACCCAGCTAGATTTTATGTGTGTCTATAATTTCCTTATTTGTCTTGAGCTTCAGCTTCCTTTATGAAAATCGGGACAACTTCAGAATAAGAAGCTGGCACCTTTAAACAAATCTCAGACTGCTTGCTTACAGATGAGAATAAGAGATACTGTGGGAGAATGATTCCTTTTAGAGGGTTATCCCCCCTCCCCCGCTCCATTTTCATTTTAGAAATGTAGGCCTTGCCTGTAGAAAAAAAAGATGGTTTTTAAGTACTGCTTGTGGAATGTGTTCAAAGGATTGATTCTAGAACCTTTGTATATTTGATAATATTTCTAACTTTCACTTCTTTACTGTTTGCAGTTAATGTTCATGTTTGGCTATGCAATCATTTTTATGCATGTTTAATTTTTTTAGATTTTCCTGGATGTATAGTTTAAACAACAAAAAGTCTATTTAAAACTGTAGCAGTAGTTTGCAGTTCTAGCAAAAACGAAAGTTGTGGAGTTAAACTTTGTATTTTCTTTCTTATAGAAGCTTCTAAAAAGATATTTTTATATGTTCTTTTTAACAAATATTGTGTGCAACCTTTAAAACATCAATGTTTGGATCAAAACAAGACCCAGCTTATTTTCTGCTTGCTGCAAATTAAGCAAACATGCTATAATAAAAACAAAATGAAGGAAAAAAATGAAAAGAAAATTGGGACAACAGTGAGATAAAGTATATAAAGCCCTTTATCCTAGCACATATGTTTAAAAAAAAAAAAAAAACGGTCACTGCCATTGCTACTCTTTTTGTTTTTGAGACACAATCTCTCTGTAGCTCCAGTAGGCCTGGAACTCACTGTGTAGACCTTCTGGCCTCCTCACAGAGATCTGCCTACTTCTGCCAGGTGGGGGACCATTCCCTGGGTGAGCACTAGTCGTACATGAAGTGAAATCTCATCTCATCCATAAGTGTCCAGAGCAGGAGCTCACTTGACTGCAACACCTGAAATAGTTGAAGGAAGCCAATTCTTGGTCATGGGACACCCCTGCCGGCACTGTAGGATGTTCAGCAGAGCTCTGGCCCCTATCTACTATATGCAGTAGCATTTTCCTCTCCCTCCTTTTTCTCCATGTGACAAACAAAAATATATCCAAACATAGCCAAAAATGTCATGGAGGGAGAAATTGCCCCCCCTCAAGGAGCACAGATGGAGGGAAGGAAGCCTCATGGCAGTTGTTTTGGTCGCTCTCAGTGACAGTGAACAGCATGTGCACATATCACAGTCGAAATCTGTCCTAGGAAGTCTGTCACTTGAACCTCCGTTTCCTCAGATGACTGGAAAAAAATCACCACTGCCTAAATGAAATCACAAGTTTTCATCCAGTCTCACCTCCTTGGGCTGGTCCTGGGGGATAGCCCATATATCCACGAATTCCAGCCCCAAGGGCAGGACAGTGTTCTTCTGCCTGGTCTTTTGTGTTGCCAGTGGATGAAGAAATATCAGGGACCCCTGAACCTTCCTCTTCTTCCTCCTTTTCCTCCTCCTTCTTTAC